CGCATCAGAGCTCCAACGAACGCATGAGAACTCGGGCTTGCGGATCAGAGCAGAGGCTTGCCGATCCGAGCTCGGGCTACCCGATTCCCGATCAGATCTCGACATGACGAAGCATCGAAGTTCAGAGCTCCACCGGACGCATCAGAGCTCGGGCTGGCGGATCAGAGCAGAGACTTGCCGATCCGAGCTCGGGCTATCCGATGCCCGGTCAGATCTCGACATGTCGAAGCATCGAAGTTCAGAGCTCCATCGGACGCATCAGAGCTCCAACCAACGCATGAGAACTCGGGCTTGCGGATCAGAGCAGAGGCTTGCCGATCCGAGCTCGGGCTATCCGATGCCCGATCAGATCTCGACATGACGAAGCATCGAAGTTCAGAGCTCCACCGGACGCATCAGAGCTCCAACGAACGCATCAGAGCTCGGGCTGGCGGATCAGAGCAGAGGCTCGCCGATCCGAGCTCGGGCTATCCGATTCCCGATCAGATCTCGACATGTCGAAGCATCGAAGTTCAGAGCTCCACCGGACGCATCAGAGCTCGGGCTGGCGGATCAGAGCAGAGGCTTGCCGATCCGAGCTCGGGCTATCCGATGCCCGATCAGATCTCGACATGTCAAAGCATCGAAGTTCAGAGCTCCACCGGACGCATCAGAGCCCGACCGGACGCATGAGAACTCGGGCTGGCGGATCAGAGCAGAGGCTTGCCGATCCGAGCTCGGGCTATCCGATGCCCGATCAGATCTCGACATGTCAAAGCATCGAAGTTCAGAGCTCCACCGGACGCATCAGAGCTCGACCGGACGCATGAGAACTCGGGCTGGCGGATCAGAGCAGAGGCTTGCCGATCCGAGCTCGGGCTATCCGATGCCCGATCAGATCTCGACATGTGGAAGCATCAAAGTTCAGAGCTCCACCGGACGCATCAGAGCTCCAACGAACGCATGAGAACTCGGGCTTGCGGATCAGAGCAGAGGCTTGCCGATCCGAGCTCGGGCTACCCGATTCCCGATCAGATCTCGACATGACGAAGCATCGAAGTTCAGAGCTCCACCGGACGCATCAGAGCTCGGGCTGGCGGATCAGCGCAGAGGCTTGCCGATCCGAGCTCGGGCTATCCGATGCCCGATCAGATCTCGACATGTGGAAGCATCGAAGTCCAGAGCTCGACCGGACGCATCAGACGTCGGGCTGGCGGATCTGAGCAGAGGCTTGCCGATCCGAGCTCGGGCTGGCGGATCAGCGCAGAGACTTGCCGATCCGAGCTCGGGCTATCCGATGCCCGGTCAGATCTCGACATGTCGAAGCATCGAAGTTCAGAGCTCCATCGGACGCATCAGAGCTCCAACCAACGCATGAGAACTCGGGCTTGCGGATCAGAGCAGAGGCTTGCCGATCCGAGCTCGGGCTATCCGATGCCCGATCAGATCTCGACATGACGAAGCATCGAAGTTCAGAGCTCCACCGGACGCATCAGAGCTCCAACGAACGCATCAGAGCTCGGGCTGGCGGATCAGAGCAGAGGCTCGCCGATCCGAGCTCGGGCTATCCGATTCCCGATCAGATCTCGACATGTCGAAGCATCGAAGTTCAGAGCTCCACCGGACGCATCAGAGCTCGGGCTGGCGGATCAGAGCAGAGGCTTGCCGATCCGAGCTCGGGCTATCCGATGCCCGATCAGATCTCGACATGTCAAAGCATCGAAGTTCAGAGCTCCACCGGACGCATCAGAGCCCGACCGGACGCATGAGAACTCGGGCTGGCGGATCAGAGCAGAGGCTTGCCGATCCGAGCTCGGGCTATCCGATGCCCGATCAGATCTCGACATGTCAAAGCATCGAAGTTCAGAGCTCCACCGGACGCATCAGAGCCCGACCGGACGCATGAGAACTCGGGCTGGCGGATCAGAGCAGAGGCTTGCCGATCCGAGCTCGGGCTCTCCGATGCCCGATCAGATC